ATATCAAGAAATTGCCTGATCTAGACTGAGTTTTGCTGATCTCAGCCATGACTGTGGTACAGTATTTCCAGCGACTTGGGACGTCCTCCTAACATGAAAGGCGCTACACAAATGTAATTTTGTTGTTGTATTAAAATTGCCAGAGGAGAAAAAAAATCTCTGGATAATAATAATAATAATCCTTGCATTTGATATAGCGCTTTTCACGTCTTCTAGACGTCTCAAAGCGCTTCACAGAATATACTGTAAAGTGAATGACTGTATATTTGTGGGTGAAACGCACAGCAGTGTCCATAAACAGTCGTGGATTTGAAGTGACCAATTTATTATTGTTTTTTTTCTTGAGGGAGTATTATCAGGCGTGTGGAGTAAGGAAACTCTCACTTGTGAGGCGAGTGCTCTAACCACTGAGCTACAGGACTCCACATATCATGATTTATCATACTTCTTTCTCCTTTGCCTGGAAATCCTTCCTGTAACTTGTACATCATATCAATAATTGCAACTTGCATTTATGTAGTACTTTTCATACAAATGTACAACACAAAAAGCTTGACAAATATAGCAGTGAACACATAACAGGAACGTAAGGGATTTAAGTATCTAGAGCAAAAACAAACCATCTTATCTAAAGATGATTTCGATGCTCTTTTTAATCTATGTAAATGACCTGGACTTGAGTATAGAGAGGACAATTTCTAAGTTTGCAGATAATACAAACCTAGGAAAAGTAGTAAACAGTGAGGAGGATAGTAGCAGACTGCAAGAAGAAATAGACAGACTGGTGAAATTGGCAGACACATGGCAGATGAAATTTAATGCAGAGAAATGCAAAGTGATGTATTTGGGGAGGAAGAATGAGGATAGGCAATATAAGCTAGATGGTACAATCTTAAAGGAGATGCAGGAACAGAGTGACCTGGGGGTCCACATAAGCAAATCTTTGAAGGTGGCAGGACAGGTAGATAAAGTTGTTTAAAAAAAGCACATGGGATATTCGGCTTTATAAATAGGGACGTAGAATACAAAAGTAAGAAGGTTATGATGAATCTTTATAAAACACTAGTTAGGCCTCAGCTAGAGTACTGTGTTCAGTTCTAGGCACCACAATTTAGGAAGGATGTCAAGGCCTTGGAGAGGGTGCAAAGGAGATTTACCAGGATACCAGGAATGAGCGACTTGACTTATCAAGAGAGGCTAGAGAAGCTAGGATTATTTTCCTTGGAGGTTAAGGTGAGATTTGATAGAGGTGTTCAAAATTATGAAGGGATTCAATGGGGTGAACAGGGAAAAACTGTTTTCACTGGCGGGTGGGTTGGTAACCTGAGGACCCAATTTAAAATAGTTGCCAAAAGGACCAGAGGGGAGGTGAGGAGAAATTTTTTCACACAGCGAGTTGTTCGGATCTGAAATGCATTCCCTGAAAGGGTGGTGGAAGCCGATTCGACAACAACTTTCAAGAGAGAAGTAGTTAGATATTTGAGGAGGACAAATTTGCAAGGCTATAGGGACAGAATGGGGTAGTGGATTAATTTCGATAACTCTTTCAAAGAGCCGGCACGGATACAATGGGCCAAATGGCATCCTCTATGATTCTATGATTCATACCTAAGATAAAGCAGACTCTGAACCAGAAGCAGATGTTTGACTATAATAATAAAAATTTCGCTGCTCAGACCTTTTCACTTAAAACTCAAATGTGTTCCTTTAAGGAATCTCAGGGTCACACACATGGAGTAGTAGAATGCTCTAATGCTCAACATCACTATTGTCAGATTGTGATTACTGTTGGTTTTGTAATTTTGCCACTACAGTTGTGTGAGTTTGCAAGCTTGTGAGTAAACCTCTAAAAACATTGACACCAACCCACTTGCAGGATCTATCTTTCACACATCCATCACTAAAAATAGCGATCTTTTTGTTATGTCTTTATAATGTGAAATCTCATTATAAAGTTGTCATGGAAGGTTCGCTATTTTTAGCAATCAGCATATGATATTTTTGTACTCTCCCTCTCTTCTCACATACACCTTGTGCACTTTTTCTCTCTCACTCTTTCTCACATTTTCTCATAGTCTCTCTCTCACACACTCTTCACATTCCATTTCTCTCATATAATCTTCTATTGCTTTCTTACTCACACTACGTGTTGGCTGTTTACTCCCTCACTTTTCCATTTTTCACTTATGTTTTTTGCTTGTCTTAATGTTCAACAGGAAAGGTGGCCTGGTGCACTGCCCATTGGTAGTGGACCTTGGTATTGAGTATATGACTATCAGTGCTTACGTTGGATCAGTTATTTCTGAGCGCCAGTGATGTTTTCATTGCCCAGGAAGGTAATACCTAACTACAATGAAGATAAAAATGGCATCCAGCTATTCAGTTAGCACTTAACAGCTCGTATCATGGACACGTTCCAGAAATTGTTTAAAAATTACTAGCATAGAAACAAATGGAACATTGCATCACTGGCAGGTTGTTTTCAAGGTTCTTTCAGTCACGAGAATAGACTGTCATAAGTCGATCATAATTTCATTTGCATTGTTACCATTTAATAAAGTCCACACAAAAATGAGTTATTACTCAAGGGTGTTAATACATTGAATGGACACGCAAACATAGAAGGGAAGCTGCAATGAGACCTGCAGCTCTGCAAACTGACCCAACCTGCGTCGCGTGGCTCAGTGCAAGGTTAGGTCTGTTACCACAAGGTTTGGAGTCTATTGAATTGTTCTGTTGTAGTTTTACATTATTTTAGAATGATTCTTTTGGGAAGATTTCTCACTAATAATTAATTGAAGTGATTGTTCCATTGGCGAGATCACTTTCAAATACTTTCTCCACTAGAAATGAGGCTTGCATTTGTTTATGGGATCCAACTCAACTGATGAATGTTTCTTTCTGCACTTTTAATGGGATTTTAATGCTTTCAGCAAGGAAGAAAAAGTTAACTAGCGTTAGCAAACAGTAAATGATGGAGTCTGTCCTTTCACAAGCAGCACAAATATTTACAATTAATGTACAGCATGGAAACGGGTTATTTGTCCAAACCAGTCTGCGCTGGTATTTGTACTCCTCATGAATCTCCACCCAATTCTTACTCCCTTCTATTCCCTTCTCCCTCGTGTGTATATCTAGCTTCCTCTTAAATACATCTATACTATCTGATTCAATCAATGAGTTGTGAGGGTAGTGATTTCCATGATCTCACTATCTTCTGTGTGAAATTGTTTCTCTTAAATTCTGTTTTAGATCCCTCAGTTGCTATCTTATACTTGTGTCCCTGGTTACAGTCTCCCCAATCAATGGAAATAGCCTATTTATGTTAACCGTATCAAACTATTTTATAATTAGAAACTCTTCTATTAGGTCCCCTTTCAAATGTCTCTTTAGCAAAAAAGAGCCCTAACCTAGCCACTCAATCCTAATACAAGTATTATATCATTCTAGTAAACCTACGCTACACTCTTATCATTGCTGCAATATTCTTTACAATATCATCTCTATCTTCAAGACACTCCAGTGTTTTGCTTTTGAGGGAAGAGGATAATTTTACCGAAAGCGTTTTCTCCTATTTCCCACTTTTAGGTCTGTATCACGCTCCTCACTGTAGCTCAGTTAAGAAGCCAGATGGACACCCTGCTCCCACGGCTCAGCTAATGGTGCTCTGCAACTGATTCGCAAGAGGTACCCAGGAGCAGAAATCAACAAAATGGACAATAGGAACTGTAGCCTTGAAATCAGGCGCTAAAGCAGATCCAGCTAGTAAACACAGAGAATCCTCAGAGCAGCTAAGTGACACTGATGACCAAGTTTAAGGCTCTAATAAGAAAAGGCAGTCTGAAACATTAAATGCATACCGAGCAGTAAACAAATGCATTTGTCAAAATAAGAAACATGGTTGGGTCTAACACGTGAGTTGGGCTGATAGGCAAACCATTTTAAGCATATACTGTTGCCCTTGATTATGTAATTGGTCAGTGAAGGGATTAGAGAAGCACTTGTGATCCTTTTCATCTGTAGCTAATTGCTCAATTAAGGGCACCTTTGTGTGAACATAGCTTGCCTGAGCTGCATACACACACACGCACACGTACACTTAATGTGTTTAGTTTGTAATAGGAGGAAATAGTCTGGAATTGGTTGCCAAGCAGCAACAAGCCACGTTTCACTGAAGCTGACATTTCATTCATTGTGGAGAAAGTAATAATAATAATAATAATCCTTGCATTTGATTTGCATTTGCATTTGATATAGTGTATTCGAGATGTCTCAAAGGGCTTCACAGGATATACTGTAAAGTGAATTGACTGTATATTTTTGTGGGCGGAACGCAGCAGCCAATTGCGCACAGCAGTGTCCCACAAACAGTTGTGGATTGGGTGACCAAATTATTATTTGGGAAAATGTTTTTTTGAAGAGCTTATTATCCCCGGAAAAGCGATCTGCCAATCGATGCAGAGGAGGGCAGACATTTTTGATTCTGGTACCAAACCAAGAAATCCATCTGCCAGAAGGAAGGCCTGGGAGGAGATAGCTCACAGCCTGACAGCAGTGTCCACCACTTGATACACGTGACAAGAGACCAGTAAAAGATTCCATGATGTCAAAAAATCCTGCAAAGCTAAATATGGCTTATAAGTGTACAGCTCAATGTACCATGATTGACCACAGCACGATAAAAATTGCCGTGTGGTAGAAGAGGCTGCAATGCACCTGTCTGGAATAGCGGGCCTGGATGAGTGACAGAAGATGGATTGAGCAGCACAGATGATGGTATGTGTGGTCTCTCTCTGTTCCTTTAAAATGTAAGGATTGTGGAGTGATAGAGCCTTGTAAAAAATACCCTCTCGAATTTTGTGCACTGTGCAAGATCAATTGTACATTACAATGCTGCCCCACAATAATAGTGGAATAGTGTAAAGATGATATGAGACATTTTATATGGCGTTATATACATATACAGTTAATATTTCTCCTATTTTCCTTTCTATATAAAGTTGGACTATCTGGAGATGGAGAACACCCGATCCCTGAGGGACACATACAATCCGTATCCAAGGTAGATTCTCTGACCCGTCACAAACTACATTTGTCAACTTCAAATGCAATGGGGACAACTTCCTTAGTCCGGAGCGAGCAATACCCTCTTCTGGATGAGAGTGAAACTGAGTGGCCTGTGTTGAACTGTGTTTAGTATTGCACGATCATTTACAGCGATAGGAACTGTACTAGAGCAAGGAGAACACTAAGACATGTGCAAAGTCATTTTGCTTAGTCAGCCGGGTGTCTGACACATGCAAATGCTTCGGAGTATCCAAAACAGACTGAGAATTCCAAGAACAATCTTTAAGACATGGAAATTTCCCTGCGACTGGAATTGGAATGCACAACCTCACTCTGGAGGGACGGACCTTGCTTATCTAATTTTGGAGAGTATTGTATGCAAGTTGGCAACAGAAAAACTATTAGATGCACTTTGGCTTAGAGACCCTAGAGTATACATTGGGGCAATGCAAGAATTTACCAGCTAAAACAGTATAGCTTGCTATTGAGAGCACTGTTTGGCAAGCTTCCCACTGCTTGTGCAGCTAGTTGTTAGGGAATTGGCTCTCATGGATGACAGGAGCTGAGAGGGAAGAATCCCTGCTGCCAGTTTCACTATATAATCATTGTGAAAAAAGCATGAACAAAATGTGGGGAAAGTGAATACACTCAGTAGGCACATAAGCCATATACATAAGAATCACAATACATTTATTTTTGTAATACCAATGATTTGTTGTATATTGACTACAGTTACTTAATTGTTATTTCTTATTGTTCCTGTAACAGTAGTTTTAGTATTTCATGATGTATGGGAAAATGGCAGGTAATATGGGACTGAAAGGATTATCCTTAAGTGTGCCAACACAGACATGATGAACTGAATATACATACGTATGTCACCTATGCTCAGTAAATGTCCCTATCTGGAATGGAATGCACACTCTCGCTGGAGGGACCGCCTTGCAGTAAGTTTACAGCTGTACATTTATATGGTTCTATGAGCTTCCGTGAATATGTTTGAACTTCACTGTTGCAATTTACAATATCCAAACTCCCTGCAACTTCCTTATTTTCCATAAACCACTGGTGTATCCACCAATAGATTAAAATAAACAATTATGATATTCATCTCAATGACTGTAATTTGAATTGGAATTTGAATCTGGTCGTCTGACAGTCTCACATCCATGACAACTATATAAGCCAGTATCAAGCTTGTGTTTGGACTTACTTAATGAAAATTTGTTCTAGGTTGTGAAATCTAACTATTGACTACTGATTAATAGATGGCTTAACACTTGCAGGTTGCCCTTTATATCACGTGCTGTGCTATTTGTGTGTTTATGTTAAAATCTGAGCTGGTGCAGACAGATTCAGTGAGACACCCTGGTCATTGCACTTTATAGTATATCCTATGAAGCCTTTTGGGACATCCTCCCAACGTGAAAAGGCACTATACCAAATGTAAGCATTATTATTATATAGAGATGTGGTGCTTTAATTATGCCTCACTGCTTCAGAATCTATGAGGATAGATTCTATATAATCATATAGAATATATAATTATATAGAATCTATCCTTATATAGAATCTATGCAATCACCTTGCTGATAAGCAGGGTCACCTCAGAGCTGAGCTGGCTCCAAGGTGACGTGCCTGGCAATGGAATATCGTAATCAAATCGATCCTCTGTGGTGGTCTCGGTCACTCAGTCCCTGAGCTAGGTGGATCTGTAGTACTCCCAAGACAGAATGGCAGGAGGTTACAGGATGAATGAGTAAGATTATTGAATGGTTGGAAGTAATTGCAAACTATGTCTCTCTGAAAATCGGCTCACTGCACTTCCTGATCTGAATACAGGAACGTTGAGGTTGCAGGCATTAGTGCAGAGAGTCATACACAATCTACAGAAAGAAATAAGTCAAGAACTAGGTGAGTTCGGTAGCACTGGTGAACTGCTGGAGGTGATACGACTTGACAGTGAAGGACCCTAGGAGAACACACCCCAGAGGAAGCAAACCTTGGTGTTCCTTTCATGAAAAGGAGAGTTGTGTAACACTTTCTCACGGACAATGCGTTCTTGATAACAGTATGGGAAAGGAAGAGTAGTTCGCTACTCCAATTGTCCGAGCAGACCACCACTGTTCATCATACTCTTGCCTCTTTTAAAGATCGTTTTGCTTTTGACATGGAGGCTTTGGATGATTACCCGATGAGAACACTATGGGATTTGTCTCTTATCTCCGTAAATATGGAGACCCTGGGGCTTTGCTGACGTATTGGATCCACTGGCCAACGCATCCCTTTCTGCTTTCATGAAAAGGAGTAATACCAGCCCTGTTGTTGTTTATTCTGATGTATCTCAAGATGTCAAACCTTCCCCTTGCACCCTCCCTCACCGCACAAAATCGTAAAATCCTCTGGGAATGAACAGCGCAAAACAGGTGAAGTTGGTAGGAAAGAGATCCTGCCTAATGCAGGTCCATCACATAACAAAGCAATCGCAGAGAAAAAAAGGTGAAGAGTAGATTGTGAAAAATGGTCAAATCGAGATCTGTCTTGTGATCTGCAGGTACTCATCTTCATCTTTGTAGTTATGATCATCTACTTTATCCTGTGCAACTAGAGCTTGCTGCTGCTGTTCATCGATAGTCATGTTGGTCCTGCTGCTTTTGGCAATGATGTGTAACACACAACAAAGTATGCCTAATTTACTGGCTGATGGTGTGATACTCCTGTGCACTCCCTGGAATAAGCCAAGCTTTATTCAGGAACCTTTTGATTTTATACCTCACAAGTATCCTTGCAGATGGCTTGGGATGTACATATGCAAGCCATTCTGTATACATAATTTTGTTTTTATCTAGCGGATAAGATAAACTCCATTAATCATTGCCTCACATCACCAAATGTTCTAATTTTGGGTCTTCAAAAGCATTTGAAATTTGTGAAATTGTGGAAATGTGTGGATTCGAGGAAAGTTGCAAGTAAGATGTAAAATGTTGCAATATTGACCATCAAATTTGATCTGTCTATTCATGGAGTGAAAGCCTTTCTTATTCGGGATTACAAGTGGGGCACCAATTGCAATTGGTGTGGATTTGATAACACCTTGGACCCAAGGAAAGCAAACACTACTGATGATGATAAGAAGAATCCGTGCATTTGATATAGCATCTTATCACTTCTTCGAGACGTCATAAAGCACTTCACAGAATATACTGTGCAGTGAATTGACTGTATATTTTGTGGACGAATGATGTTTATTATGTACTATAATGCTTAAGATTACAGAGCACGGGTGACAAAGAATGGTTATGTGCACAGAAACTTGACTAACCCTATTCTAAATCACCCACAGTGTTTGAAATGAACTGGTTCTGTAAAGGTTCAATGTTACAGTGAACTTCAATTCCATAGGTTTGCAGTTTTACAGCTTACAGTGTGTTTCAGGTTCAATATGAAATAGAGGGTCAAATTTACAGTGTTCATGAACATGTTGTATTGTAATTTGTAATGTGTAATATGCTTACAAAATGTGTAATTTGCCTGCATTTTGCTAAATCCTGTGAAACACTTTGAGGCATCCTCCCAATATGAAAGGCGCTATATCAAATGCAAGGATTATTATTAAATTTCAGAACATAAAATGTGCTGAAGAATTCATCAGATAGAAACTTGATAATTGCACATATCTTATTAAAAAAAATCTATTTAAAAAAATACCACAAGTTCATAAACTTCAATGATGGATTATTTTGGTAACCTCTAAGGACTGAAATTTCATCTATAAGACCATTTTGTTTTAAAATTTAATTTTGTGCAAAATTGTGGAAAATCCGGAAATTCTATCTTAATTTGGAAGTCAATTTAAAAAGAACTGAAACTATAATTACGATTGAATGTAATAATACAAGATGGTCTTATAGGCTAAGACTTGGTGGAATTAAGTATTGGCTATCGGTAATTGTAAATAACTTATCTTTTACCCCTGTGATCTCTATGTAGCCTTCTTTCCCTGTCTACAAGAGTCGTTCGTTGTAGCGATTGCTCCTCATCTACTGATAATATTTGTAGTTATTATAATTATAAGTTCAATTAATTAAGTTCAAATGTTCACCAAACACAAAAACATTGAAGAACAAACTCAAGCATCGCGCTGGTAGATAAATTAAGTAACTGCTCTGTAACACATCTGAATGAAAATAAAATAAGTTGTTTAAATAAACTTACTATCTGTGTCTCTGTTTGATTAGAATATTGTTCTCTGTGGCTCTGCTTCCCCATTCTTCTCTCAACATCTGATGAATGCACTGTTCTCAGTATAGCACACATGGAATTTTATCTGAAAAAACGAGTGAGATCCCTCCAGACAGTTTAATTGTAAAATGATGAGTTTCATGACTTGCCGATTAAATTTGAATGGCTGCTTGAGATAACAAGGCGGAATACCATTTGTAAAATTAAGAGCGTCTGAGCATCAAAATCAAACATTCCGTGCGTTTTTACACACTACTGTATTGTGGTAATTCTAACAGAAATTTCAAAAGGTATTCCAGTTGTCAAATTATTCCCGCTAAACTATAGAATTATAAGAAACTTTTTCATACAGATTATTGGAATATCAAATGTTATGACACAAGTAGCTCTTGAGGCTGAGACCTTAACAATGTTTAAAAGTGAATTAGAAGACATTTAAAGAAGAATAAACAGTATAAAAAAGTATGGGCAAAGATCAGGGAATATTGGGATGAAACTAGTAGGTCTGATGGGTGAGCTGACACCAGTTTAAGATTGAATGGCCTTCTATGCTTATATGATTCAATATTATTCTAAAATATAAACATCTACAATTCATACCTGGCTGGTCGGATGTATTGTATACCATGCATATGCATGCTTGATTTGATTGTAATATTATTTTTCCTTGTTTCCATTCACAGAAAACGGTGGGAGGTGCATTGAGGTGAGTAATTATGGCTGCAAGACATCAGAGTTATAGGGGACTAATGTGTATGTCGTAAGGTAAAAGCATGCAGATTGCATATACAGTAGAGTAATATACCTTACTGGGAGTGAATTACAAGGTACTATTTTTACAGATGGCATTATAGCCATGAGAATGAAGACTGAGGAGTTTATGATCTGTCTGTACTCTGAGATGGAGCCACATTCTTTAATTTACTCCCAGATAATTCATGTTATTTTTTTCTGAATTATTTGTGTAATGTCATTGGATTTGTTACTGCATAACCTGGTTCAGGAAATTTCCCACCAAAACTAGTGAGATTGTCTGAAAGGGTCAAGTGGATGACAGTGGCGGCAAGACATCTGTGGGTAGAATTGAAAACAGACTTTTTACAAGAAATAAAGCTAGAATCATTCAGACGATGAGATAAATAGCTCCATGAGTGAGGCTGATCAGATAATACAAAAGCTATAAAGTCATAATTAGGTTATTGTCAGCTTTATTATATTCTATTTATAAGACTGACTATATTTTCTTTCTTACATCTCCAAATGTTCTCCTGTCCTGAAGGCAGTGACTCATGCTGGATATAATTCCACTCATGCTGGCAGACCTCCAGTACGGTATCTCGCCTAAATGACCGTTCTTTGACCTGATGCTAAATTATTTTATGAAATCTAATGTATTTAGTGCAAACTGAACAGTTAATGTTGACAGTCAGGAGCGCTAAATTTGTGCCCGATCCTGCCCTGGCCTGACAATCACTAAGGTATACTTTCGAGCAGTAGACACTGGATAGCGAACAAATGCAAGAACCCAGTCAACGTTAATAAGGCCAATTGCAGCAGTTCAATTGCGACCATGGCTGAGATCAGCTAACTCAGCATTAATGGGAGAGCATCCATAGGATATCGTAGATTTTTATGACTAAGTAGAGGCTCTTCCACTGAACCTCTGAGGAAGAAATAACAAGCATACTTTCAATGAAAACAACTAAATACCAGTGAGAACTTGTCTACAAATACACAGTCGCTATACAGTAAAATCCTACGAAGTGCATTGAGACGTCTCGGGGAGTGATAAGACACAAAACCAAAAGGAAGCATTATTTATTTACTTGTTTACTTCAGCTGTTACAGCCTAAACTACAGTGAAACGCCGGTTATGATGAAGATGTGTTCTCTGCGACTGAGGGGTGATTTGATTGAAATGCCTGCCCACTGAGCGATCCTTCCACCAGTTGGAGGTGCGGAACTTGAGCAGTAGCTACTTACCTCGCTTCATACCAATCAAGGTGGATTCCAAATGCTGGATATAAAAATGTATGTTCATCGGGGTAACACCTTCCAGTGGCTGTCATGCCGTTATGTCATCAGCTATTCGATGGATATCTGGCTTCAGCATGGTGGGAGGACCTTTACAGCACAGCTAGTGATGTGCCAGCCACCTTAATGTTTTCAAATTCCAAGTCTAATGCCACGTACCAGGCTTATTCAGCACCAGCTGCTTAATCCTGGCTACACAAACAACCATGAAATGAATGATCAATTTTATTTGGCAGATTGTTGGCCAGGACACCGGACGAAACTCCCTTTTTTGAACAGACAGATGGGCTTTCAGTTTTAATGCCTCATCCGAAGGACGACACCTCTGACAATGGCGACACATCCACAATCTAGTTCATTAAATGCAAGGATTATTATAATATTATTATTATTAGAAATAGCCTTGTAACACTTGCTGTCAAGGCTCACCCGTGTAGAATGACCATTTGAGAAAGGTAGAACAAAATTCTGGGACTTGGAACAGAGTCAGCACCTTCAGGAGAAAAAATAAACTGCTGAGAAATCTGGGACCCATATTCCTCTCATTAGCCATAAATAGGGAAAGTAAAATCAGATCCACAGTGTACAGCACAGGAGTATCATTGTCAGAAAATACTGGGATAGGGATGGAATAAAACACCTTGTGGATAATGTATCAACTGAATTAAAGGTCTCTATCTGTTGCAAACGAAAAAGTCTGGAGACTCAGCAGTTTGTTGAAAGAATAATCGGAGTTCAGTTACTTGCCTGTAAACCTTCTGCAAAGCTGTGATCACATTTTAAATCCTTTGTTTTGGCCCTGAGTTCGTCTGGGAAGTGAGATGCTATCTGAGCACAGGTTTTAATCATAGGCAGATACAGCTTCTCTCACCAACTTGCTCATCCAGACAGTTATAAGCAACAGATAAGAACAGCATTTTCATTCTCCAACTGGAGTAAGGACAAGATTGGGAGCACAGACAGGTACGAGTGAATTTGATTGGTAGTAGCATCTAATTTAATGATTAAGCTTTTTGCAAGAGTGTTGGTTTTTTTTCCCCACCCTGATCGTTTGCCAGTGGCTGCAGAGAATTTAAGGCTGGATTATCGACGAGTTATTTTCTGTCTTTGGCAGTTTCCTTCACGCTTTGAAGATGTGGTCAGGGATTTTCCTCGTTGCTTTCGGCCTTTTCACTGCTGCAGAGTTGCGGTCCACCACAACACATAAGCTGTGTGATGCAAGTATGTCAACTACGCTTGATAATGCATTTCATTAATTTAGATTTTTTTTTAAAAGATTGGTAGCTTTTTAAAAATGCATGTGATCAACTTCATTATTTTTTACAGGATTCTCTCTCACTATCACAATGCCACTTATCTAGTGCTTTCATTTTTAACTCACATTATTATCAGTGCATTTTCTGCAATAGTTGCTCTTATCAAATGATTTGAAATCCATCCAAAAAATGAGTGTATAAGCTAGCATTTGGATGTTCAACCCTCTTGTTTGAACAAGCCCTTCACAGAGAGCAAACCTGTCTTTTCAATGTAATCAGAACATTTGGTAATACCTTATCTCCCAACAGTTTATTTGAAGTATTTCATCTTATGTTGGACTTTATAATATGCTTCAAAACATTTATTTCAGCTTCACCGTATGCTCGTAAGGTACGAATCAGCCTGAAAGCTGCTCTTGGAGACAATGCAGTAAGTTTAACTTTACTGCTCTTCCTAATTAGTTTGATTTTATCACCCTTGTCTCACCATTACTCCTTAACCAACTTAAAACTATTCCTTCCCTATTTTGATTCAGTAGAAATAAGTCAATACAAGGAATTTAATTATTTTTCCACAAACAAATGAAAAACAAATTAAACATCAGACAATATTGTTTTGCCTGTATCCAGGAATGCTAACTGCAATGTTTAAGTATCTTAGAAGTTAGCTGGCTGATCGAACAAAGATTTCTGAAGTTCTTGAAGTATGATATACAGAATAATAGTTGGTTTTAGTATTAAAGGAAGTACGTGAGACTGAGCTAGTTTCGGGGGCTTATATGGAAATACAAGGCTCCAAAGCAAGAAGGCATTTACTTGAACATTTACTTGAATAATCCCTTGAGAGTATCAAGTTTTGGAGAGCGTCATCAAACTTATTCTAAAAATATGTAATCATTTACTGAGATGAAGTATATGGTTGAATCATTGATAGAAACTGCAGCAGATAGTGATGGAATTTAAAATTAACAATGGATAACTGTTTTTAGAGGGTAAAATTAGTGCTTGATCGGATGTCTTGATATGAAATTCATAAACTTTTTGTTCTCCCAAAGTAGACACATTGTCGATTCATATAGTCAATTGGTTGGAAATTTGTAGACCTTTTATTGTTTTATGTTTGCAATGATTCCTGCTGAGTACAGTTCCACGGATGCTAGTAACACTCTGATAACTTGACCAGATGATTATTCTTTACATGTGAGTGTAAACACTCAGTGTGCAAGTTGTAAACACTCATTGTGTGCAAGTGCGGAGGGACTTCACAAATGCTCCAACGTAGTGTCCTCAACTGACTTCCACCCATGTGTGCTTCCTGCCTGAGTGACAACATAGGGATTAGATTAGCAGTGGGAATCTGGCTGATTTTTCTTCTCCCTTTCCCAGGGTCACTGAAGCTAATTGTAGAAGTCCATATCACTTCTCTGACTGAGATCAACTAATATTTACATTGTGAGTTTGTTTGGAGAGTCAAGCCTACCAGCCAGTCTACCACCTGATGCAATTCAACAGACATTATGTTACTTTGTTTACAACACATGAAAAAAGTCACTTTTTCTTTACATGTACCTTTAAAGAATCAGCATTTTGGTGGTAGACTCAATTTCTGGTTCAACAGCTTGCTCTGAAAATTTAATTTCCGCAACCTCTGAATTGTGTGCTCAGAGAGTATACACTGCCTAGAGTAAATGTAATACGTGCTGCGGTGTCAACTTATGTAGCGAGGATTGCAAAAAACTAATCTTAACGTGAATTTGGGCTACATGAACCTAGCTCTCAGTGGGTGTCTCTAAAACTGTCTCTAATTTGTTACTAACCTCTCACTCAGAGGAACTACAGAATGAATGGTGCAGGGAATGGAAAAGATCCCATCTCTATATTCCTCTCACTTCTCACTCCAGGTCCGAAATTTCACACAGTGTTAGTCTTAAAATTTAAGATTTCGCGGAATCATAGAAAATTTTAAAATTCAGTTTTAACATAGTTTCGTTGTTCTGAAAATTAAGCAGATCCTAATTTAAAGACTGAATTTTTAAGAATTTACCACGATTCTTCGCCATCTTACATTTCAAGTTGTCTTACTGGCTAAGACTAGGTGGCATTTCCAACCTTCTGTGTCTACTGATCTTTTAAGAATTTAAATGTAAATGGCATTGAATAAATAAATATAAGTTGTATTCATCTGATGTTGGGGTAGAGGCAAAATAGTAGGAATGTTGCTCAATTTCTTGCCATACTATTCCTGATCTGACGATTGAGATGGACTCTGGAGGCCTGAAATTCCGTCTAGTTTTAGACTATAAGCCCATTTTGTTGTCAAATTAAAATTGTGGAAAATACTTAAATTTAGTGTTAATTTGGAAGTCAGTTCTCCTTAAAAATTGCAGAAAGTCTGCTTCCAAAATAAGACTGACTTCCTTATAAAACATTGGAACATAGGAGAGTGGGAAAGGAGGAGGCATTTCCGCTGCCCATTTGGCTTGTTTTACAACTTTATTAGATCTTGTCAGATCACCCTGGCTCAGTTGGTTTCACTGCTGCCTCTGATTCCAAACATTGTGGATTCAAGCCCCACGTCAGGACTTTCAATACAATAGAATTTCACAGTGCCGTTTATATTTATATAGTGCCTTACACGTTCAGAAGAGGTCTTAAAATGATTCACATTGCTGGATGGGCACCCAAGCTGAGGTGCAGACTATGTGAATGCACATAGTCTAGGCTGACAATCCAATGCAGTGCTCGAGGTGTGCTGCATTGATAGAGATAGCATCTTTTGGATGAGACATTCAACCGAAGTCCCCCCTGCCTATCTATTCAGGTGGACATTAAAGATCCCGCGACTCAAAAAGAGAATGGAGTTTCTCCCAGCCCAACAATCCCTTGGATAAAATTGATTACTCACTTAATGACCGTTTGTGGTCCATTCCCGTGAAGCACTTTGAGATGTCCTCCCAACATTAAGGACGGCATATCAAATGCAAGGAGTGTGCGTTATTTTTTAATCTCACTGTTGCACCCTTTCGGGATATCCTTTTAATACCCCTAAATGACAAGGGCATTTCATTATGCTTAACATCCCAGAGCTTGATGAACATAATATTCATCAACAAAATGTAGATGTTAATGCAACATTGGTGATGCAATGTTATAATCGGGTAACCACTATTACTATTATACACTCCATCCTGGATTCCCTCTGATTCCCTCCCCTTGATCAAATCACATCTCAAAACATACCACTTTGACTATGCTTTCAGTTATCTTTTCCCCTTTCCACTCCAGTCCAGCGCCTTGTGATGTCCTCCTGACGTGAAAGGTCTATACAGATGTAATTTGTTGTTTTTGTCAGCTCTCACCCCAGCTCTAGTACCCATCCAGCATTGTCAAGTGCTTTGAGACATCCTCTGGATGTAAAAGCACTACATCAATCAAAATTGTGATGCATTGCATTTTGCATCTCTGTTTCTGAATGCAATGATAATTTTTTATCAAAGCAGTGAATAAATGTTCATAATATTCACCAGGCAACTGGATGGAAAGAGTTACTGATTCTGGAGATTTACAGTAATAAGATAAAGAGATTGAACTTACCTAAATCACAGCCTTGTTCCCTGCACTGAGAAAATTATTGAAGCTATTTTCAATCAGTTGTTACAATAGTCCCATGATTATACACCACGTAAACTGAAGATTTTTATTGCTAAAAGATATTGAAATGATAGACAAAAAAAAATGTTAAAAGTTAATCACAATCATGTTAACACTTTGAATTTATTTGAAGGAATATTTGCCAGTGAGATTCTCTAAACATTCAACATTATTTTCCAACATCGGCAATGGAGGAAACTAACTAGCCTTGTCACAATTTACCGGTATTTTCCATCTTGCTATAAATGGGGAATCAGAAGAACAGGGAAGGAGGAACAGCCAGGAAGTGGAGCTTCATTTAAATGTCCCAAATCGCATGGTGATATCTCTTGCAAATAAGAATGCAAACAATTAATTCATTATTGTGTCAGTGTTAGTACCACAGAGTTAAAATGCATGCAATATGAGACATTTAAATCAGTATATTGTAGGCAGGAATTCTTCAAAACCAGATACAGAGTAAGTAGGGTTCATTGTAGTTACATTCAGAACGTTATAACTTTATACTTGCAGATTGGTTAATACAATCATTTAGATGGAAAATACTGATGAGCTATGTTAAGGCTAGCCTCTGACTGAACATTAACTGTCTCCTCGTGAACCAAAATCACATATTGCTGTCTTTGTTTGGTTAAAGAACAACATTTATAATTTAAAGTAAACACTTGAGTACTTCTTTGAGTTTTGTTCACACAATATCTTCTTCAATGACAGTACCCTTGGGATGATAGTGAAGAATTCTACTTTCAAGCAACAGTGGCTTACGGCATGCGGAAATTTACAAACCGATCGTTCAGGTACATATGTTATTAAGTGGAAGTCTTTTGATAGTCACAATCTTGAGTTTGCTTATCAGCACCTCAAATCCCAACAGTGGATAATAATAATAATAATAATCCTTGCATTTGATATAGCGCCTTATCACATCATTGAGATGTCTCAATGGGCTTCACAGAATATATATTGTAAAGTGGATTGACTATATTTTGTGGGTATTTAAGATAATTTTCAAAAGAGGCAGAGGGGAGATGAGGAGACATTATTTTACACAGAGAGTTGTTGCAGTCTGGAATGCACTGCCTGAAAGGGTGGTGGAAACAAGTAGTAACAACTTTCAAAAGGTACTTTTAGATATGCACTTGAAAAGGAAAAAAATGCAAGGATACGGGGAAAGAGCGGGGGAGTGGGACTGATTGGGTAGCTCTTCGAAAGAGTCAACACGGGCACAATGAGCCAAATGGCCCTCCTGTGCTTTAATATTCCATGTTTCTTTGGTTCTATTTTGATCACAGTTGAGAAGGGAGGAATGAAGTGAAGATTTGGGTTAGTCATTCATTGAATATTGTCCCATGTATTATTTCCTCCAATACATCTCTTGCAAGTAGAGACAGGGGTCTATCATATGCTTGTCACCAACCGTATTAATCTTATTGTTATAAATACATACCGATAATAATAATCCTTGCATTTGATATAGCGCCTTGCCACATCTTTGAAACGTCTGAAAATGCTTCACAGAATAAGCTGCAAAGTGAATTGACTGTGTATTTTGTGGGTGAATCGCGGCAGCCAATTGCGCACCGCAGTGTCCCACAAACGGTTGTGGATTGAGTGTTTTTACTTATTCCATATGTGTGTGAGTATGTATTTGAGAGTGGTAATAGTTCTTTATCCTTCCACACAAACAGAAGAAAATCGTAACTGTATTTTAAATGTTACACCGATATTTAAAGGCGTATATTATACTATTCTCTGATAGTTTTAAATTGTTTGCAACTTGGGATATGAGGCCAAGGTTGATCACATTCTATGTAAAGTAAATCTCACCATTAGAAGACACATGCATAATTTACAAAGCACGTAAGTACAAAGCATGCCACAGAAAGATGAATGAATGTGTGTCAACAATCTCAGCTGCAGCTGGTTTATATTTAAATATAAACCAATCTGCATCAATACTTAACTTTTCCTGTGCTTAACTTTTCCAAATTTAGGATCAGTTTAGTATTCTTTAATTGCTACAGTTGATGGTGCTTTTAGAACTAATTGCTGTGAATAGGTTTTTACATCAGCGCTGAGTCTGTACAGAGTTGTTGTTAATGGTTGAGCCCATTTCAGCAGCATCTGCTGTCCCCGTGCAGTAGGAACTGCTCCTCTAAGGCTTCTGTCAGCATAAAATAGGGTGATGCCAGCAGTTGTTCTGTAACCCCGGGCCATTCTTGGTCTGTCTGTTTGGAAATGTCACATTGAATAGTCATTATAGTAGCTCGGTTAATGCTCAGTCAATACCTCTTTTATATTGTGGATCCAGAGGGCTGTAAATTGGAAGAGCTAACACGAACTTTGCTCTAAAGTGGGCCTGTCTCTTTTACATTCAGAAATGGTGATATTTTCTGTTTGTTTTGTTACTCACAGTTACGAGACTTTTTAAACGTGTTTTCAAGATCAGCCTACACGGCAAGATACACGGCTAAACGATATTCCTGAGTTTCATCCACTCTTTCCCAGTCTTTTCCCTCTGTTCCTTTATTGTTATTCAGATAGTGGCAATCAGGAAACAAAAAGGTTTCATACATGAAACATCAAATCATGAATGAGGACAGAGAGTGGTTGGGGTTATATATGCAAAGCCATGATACATTATGGACATAATTGAGTGCTTTTACTCGAGCTGTTTTTGTTTTATTCCAATGCCAGGGCTCTTTGCTGTGGAGACAGCGAGAGATCAGACTCTGAGAAGGGTCTACAGATATTCAGCATGGGAAAATTCTGTTATTTTCCATCACAGGTTGCCAGTGGAGGCAGGTTTGCCTCTGCAGGTAAACACCCATTGTAAAAAATTCCACTGTCTCAATATGTTCAATACAGGATGTGAAATGTACAGGAGTAGGAAGAACACACACATTCAAGAACCTGGGAAATCCTAATGGAAAAGTTACTTTCTGCAACTAGTGTTGATCAGCCATATCAAAAACACTTTTGGTCAACTACTTTAATGCATGTTTTTTTGGTAAATTTGTTTTATTCAAATCTTTATGTTAAGGCAGAAATAGATCCCTTCCAACTCCATCACTGTGTAGCACTCGAGCCGCTCTACTGCATGAAGGGCAAGTTGTTATGTGTAGATTTACCAATGGCTGTCTGGGAGAATCATCCGCAAATAATCTCATGGTTTTCTGGACGGTTTAAAGTTTAAGATCATTATTTTGTAATTATTCTGAATCAGAAGGTTGTGATGTAGTTTTCCAGTTCATTTTACATTAGCATTTTATAAATGCTCTAATGTATGCCAGCTGTGTAAAGTGCTCTGAGATGTGAAAGGCGCTATAGAATAGTAAATTGTGTTGAACTGCCATAGTTTCATGGATATCATCCTGGTTCAGCTGGTAGCTCTCTCTTTTCTGAGTTGGATGGCTGTGGGTTTAGGTCCATGTCGGGGACTTTGAGCTCATAGTCAAGGCTGACACGTTAACGCAGTCCTGGAGTAGTCAGGTAACGTCCTTCAAATTAGATATTTGTCTGCCTGTTTAGGTGGACATTAAAGATGGTACTATTCAAAAAAAAGGGAGTTGCTATTGATTTCTTGGCCTACAATTCCCCAGATAAAATTGGTCATTCATTTAATGGACGACACACTCACTACGCTAGATGGCAAAAATCCTGGGAATTGCTTTGAGCTGCTTTAATGACGTGAAAGATGTGGTATCAAATGCACTATTATTGTTATTATAAGTAAAGATGGAAGACTCACAGGTGCAGACAATGGAAGCACTTTGGGATATTACCACCCAGACACCAAACCTCTCCTGGCCACCTATCAACTGATGGTTAGTGTAGTGTGTTTCAGCACTACTAAAATTTTAATCAACCTGTCTGCTCCCTCTTCTTGGCAGGCACTGGCTTGCTCCATGTACCCCGCCCTGCCTGCTTGACCATTGTCAGTCGCTCCATTGCGGAGCCTCTCTGCCTTGCCCCCTTCCTTGCCTTCTTCGAGGCCTGCCTAAAGACCTCCCTCTTCGACTGTGCTTTCGGTCATCTTCCCACCTCCAACCCCCTTGTCCTCCACCCTTCTTGACTCCAGCCCCCAGTTCAAGTACACACTTCTCACTGTCCAACACCTTGGGTATCATCCCAACATGAATGTGCTATATAAATGCAATTTGTTGTTGTTGTTGTTGATGACCCAAACCTTTACACTGTACTCCATCATTGTTTTCACCCCCTCTTCCACCATCTCCCCACTCAGATTCTACTCAGACTTTGTAAAGCACTTTGAGGCAGTTTCTGATGAAGCTAAAGGCACTTTATAAGTGCAAATTGTTTTTCATAAATCTTTGTGAATCAGCACGATTATGGTGATGATTCACTGGCGAACACGCAGTATAAAAGAGTTTGAGTTGGTGATAACCAGGCTGCATTCTTGCTCCTGTTACCGGCTAGTGAGACTGGTTTGGGAGCGATGTGATTAGCAGTCATTGTATGAATAATCTTAATCCCCACCATAGTCATTCCTTTCACATAAATGTTGGGTGTCTCCTGCTCATGCAAAAGATGCATTGAACTGAACAACGTGCATGTTTATTGGCAAGCACAAGTTCCTATTGCTGGTAAATAAAGTTCATTCCTTTTTACAAGCAAGTAACACATTTAAAGCACTGTGTGGTTTGAGCAGGAAATAAATCTCAGATGGCTCAAAGTCCTTCAGTAATCAAAGTAAGAAGCACTTCACTGGCTGGTAATGTTTCACATGTTTCATGCTATTCACTTTCAGGTCAGATAAATAAATGCATTTTCTACACCCGTGCTTACAAACTTGATTTTGCAGCAAATCTTTGGCTTGTTCAGCATCTGATCCTGAAACGGACTCATTATGGGACAGATAGCACAGTAATCGATGGAACTGTATGGAACCTCTATCCTATGTTTTGAGGCCAACTTCTGAGTTCTGTTAGATCAGTATACATATTTATAACCAAATTGTTATGCATGCTGTGAGTGGTTGAATCCCAAATGTATTCACTGTGAGAAGTAGGAGAACTCTTCTAGCAATTTTAGCTTCTGTTTGGGACATCACTGTGATCTTATTGTTCTTTCTGTATTGGCTGCACTTCAGTTGTGGATAGCAATATGGGCCCATTGGGACTAGAAGGCAAAGTAGATTTGGAAGAGAGTTCCAGAGAACAGCGGCATGCTCAGTCATTACTCACCAGGGTGATATGGGGTTAAAATTGGAAACACTCACCCAGCCCAGTACATTTAAAAACCTTTCCAGTTAGAGTTTACTCTTAGCCCCAAGGTAACATATTAATCTGTTAGTGTGTTGAGGTTGCATCAGAAGATATGTGGACATGATTTCTGGCACCTAACTCTGAACCAATAACAGTGAAACATAAAGTGACCACGATTTAGTGAACTTCAATATGATAGCAAAAGAAAAGGAACTTCAAGAACAATGGTACTTGCCAGAAAAAAAGAAAATTATAGCAAGAAGAAAAGGAACTGTGCCCAGATTATCTGGAAGGAAAAATTGGCAAATAAAAATGTAGGTCAACAATGAGAAATATTTAAACTGGAGCTGTCAAAGATGCAGAGCAAGTACCTCTACAACCTTCTCAAATCTTACATGCCCAGACACTCCCTTTGCTCAGCGAGCACCAATCTGCGTCATGTTGTCCCCAGCCTCTGAAACTTTATCCTCGAGACCCATTGACTTGCTTCTTCCTTCACTTCATTCAAGGTCCTTCTCAAGACCTACCTCTTTGACTGCGCCTTTGGTTATCTTACCCCTCCCCAAACC